GATGTCACACAATCCAGCCAGCCAGCTCGCTGCAGCTCTCATTGCAGAACGGAGCGCCGCAACCCGCCGCAACCCATCAATAGTTTCTCTATAGCCCTTGCCCGGACGACCTCCAACGGCTCGTGGTGCTATCGCCCCCGTGCGAAGTGTTGACGCACGACCTGCTGCTTCACACATCCCTAATGTGGGTGACCTCGAAGCACTGTGGTTGGTGTTGTTGCCTCCACAGTGGAGTTTGCTCGCAGCCACGATTTGGCCGTCGCCGTCTGCCTCAGCAAAGCTTTCTGTGTTGCGAAGAAGGGACCGACTTCCAACATCAACGCAGTGTGTGCTTCATCTGCCACTGCGCTCCCGTTGGTGTCTGAGATTGTTGACCGCCTCGTGCAAGACCTCGCAGCAGCACCTGTGCGCAGCGACCCTTCCTCGCATCTGAGTGCCCACCGGCAGCAGCTACTCTGCGCGAACATGCAAATTGCGGGTTTGTCGAATGGCAGCAGCGGAAGCCCTGATATGTGAGAAGCGCACGTGATGACAGTTCCGAGTGCTGTGGCTTCGCCGTGTGCTCCCGCCGCGGACTTGCGGCTCCCGGTGTTGCGCCAACGATACCCCGACGCAACAGCTCGGCTAGTACACGAGCTCGAGGGCACGCCAGCTCGCAGCGGAGCGCTGGACGAGCAGAACGGAGTGGGCGTCATGCGCACGCGGCGCGGATGCGCCGGCTGCTGAGGGTGAACTGGGCCTGGGAACCCCGGGTTGGCAGCAACACGCCGCTCTCGAACTTCACACTTCCTTTCGAGAACGCGTGTTACTTCCGGCCTCGGCTGCGGGCGCGCGCGCGCTCCTCCTCCACCCTCAATCCGGTCCGCACGCTGGCATGTGGCTCGCGGCCATTCCTTTGGACGCAGTGTCCACCTCTGCACCCGACCTAATGCACGTCGCAATGAAGCGCCGCCTTCGGCTGCCTTTGCCCCGCACGGCCCTGCACTGTGGCGCGGAGGGCCGACACGCCTGTGGGGCTGAGGTCGATGCATACGGGGACCACCCCCTTGCTTGCCACGCACGGGCCTGCTGCCAAGGCGGGGCTTCGTCGTTGAACAGGGCGTGGGTTCAGGTCGCTCGTGAGGCGGTCGGTCCGGAAGGTCGGGTCGTGCCGCAGCCCTCGCTGTCGCGCACATAACAGCGATGCAGGTTCACCCTTACAACCGACTTCGCTGTCTACGGAGCGACGAACAGCGGCGAAGCCTCCTGCTGCGACGCAACCCTTCTCTCCCTGCTTACTCGCGCCGGTGCCGACGCGCGAGCGGGAGTCGCGCTCGGGTGCTGACGCAAAGGCGTGCGCTGCCCGGAGTTGACTCGCGGAGGGCCTCAACGACTACGCACAAATTAAATTGAAATTGTTGTTACGCTCTGCTGCCAAGACTCTCAGCGAAACTGGAGAACATATCGGAATACGTGCTCATGTGGACAACTCGACTCGCTAAAACCGCACGATGATTCCCCCTCCCTTCCTTTAGGAATCTTGGGGGGCATCTTGGGGGGGACATGACGTTATAGTTATTCTATTTTCTTTGGCTTCCCCGGACGCGGGGGGGGGGGGGGGGGGGGGTAGCTAGATTAGGAAGCGAAAACAAGTAAAACACTACAGGCTGCAGGGTTTAAGATTCAGACTTGAGGGTCAGTGGTTTTTTCGATACGGTCTTTTTTGGGAAGGGCTCGGGGGGGTGTCCCCGGCAATGTTTCATGGACGTCCAGACCTAAAAACACTAGAAAAAAACACTAGGAACTCCTTGGAAAGAGCTAGACAAGCCTGATCACTGGACCTACTATACGGTCTTTTGGGAAGGGCTCAGGGGGGGCAGGTGCAAGAAACCCTGTTTCCGGCGGTGTTTCATGGACGTCCCCTCGGTTTCTTTCCTAAAACGGGCCCGCTCGGCTCTCTGTGGGACTCCTAGGAACCTCCTTGGAATCCCCATAAGACCTGGAAACACCTAGACTTACTTGCTGGGAAGCCACCGTGTTTTAGGAAACGTCTCCCCCCACGTCCCCCCCCCAGATCGGGGGTGGGAATGCACGATGCTACCACGTCCTTTTCAAGTGTTTGTCCAATTTTGTCCACAAGCACTGGCATCGTCGATTATGACGTCGACGCTGGACGGTACCGAACACATCTTGCAGCATCGGCAGCCGGCTGATGGTCGTCGGCAGCGCGTGCCAGGAATCGCCCGGGCTCTGCCACGACCTCGTGCTGGTCGGGCGCCGACGTCGAGTCCAACGCAGCCTCTGAGAGCCCCTGCTTTACTAATGCAACCGCATTCAAAGCTAAACACCAGTAAACGACCAACTACTCGCTTGCAGCGAGCTGCAGCCTCGACAGCCTTCACAACCTGCGTGTCGGTGCCTGGCTGCCCATGTCCATGGCGGGTGACAAGGTTGATGATGGTCCATGCGAGCGGGGCAGGTCCACGCTAATATTCATGTGAAAGAGCCGCGCATTGCGACAAACGTACATGAAAGACGGCGCGCTCGAGTGGCGAAGGTGCGGAAGGCCAGGACTCCGCATGTTGCACCTGCCGACCGGTGATCGAAAAAAACGTCCTCGCTGCAGAAGTCGGGGGCGACGAGTGCCAACAATTCCTCCGTACCCTACTCCGGCTCCGTGTCCAACACGCCCCACCACCGCGCCTCTGCAACCCAGGGCTGGGCGCGCCGCAGGTGGAGTGTGCTGTCGGTTGCCCTGCAGCGAGCCGTCGCCAGCTGCGCGATACAAGTCTGAACCATGCCGCCGCCGATGGGTGCGCTGAACGCGCTCCTGCTGGGGAAAAAACGAAAAAACCATATTTGTAATACCTTTATTTTGGGAATCGTAAACGGCGCAGGTGGTGCACCTCACAGGGGAACGGCCCCCAGCCGCTGTTGTCCGGATTTCGACCTTACAAAGCACGTTGCCCATTTTTTGTACAGCAAGTTCCGCTTGCCAAGCCGACGCTACCTTTTTCGCTGCCGCTTCGCGCCCCCCCGGCGACGTACGTAGCGGTAGAGTGGCCATTGCCTGGCGGACGGAAAAGCCGCGTGAACGAACCAAAAAAAAAATAATCTCCGTTCTCAGAACAACACCAAACAGTCAGATGGAAACCCGAAAAATTCTATCTCGCAATGCGCCGACCTCGTCAGGCAAGTCCGAGTTCCGAAAGTGTAATGCGCCGACAGAGGTCAGATCTGAGGCCATATTTTTGTTTCTGCTTGGCCATCAACAGCATGGGCTTTTCGTGTTACCAAATGGCAGGCGCACCAGACATGTAAAAGCCTCGGGGCCCAAAACCTGTTTTCAGCCCAGCCCTGCTGTCACCCTCCAAAGGTTGCGAAGAGGGTAAACGGCACCAAACCATTTCGGATATTTATATGTATGTGCGTATGATTGCGTATATATGTATATGTCTATGTCTAGGTCTACGTCTACGTCTACGTCTATGTCTATGTCTATGTGTATGTCTATGTCTATGTCTATGTCTATGTGTATGTCTATGTGTATGTCTATGTCTATGTGTATGTCTATGTGTATGTCTATGTGTGTATGTCTATGTGTATGTGTATGTCTATGTGTATGTCTATGTGTATGTCTATGTGTATGTCTATGTGCATGTCTATGTCTATGTTTATGTCTATGTCTATGTCTATGTTTATGTCTATGTCTATGTCTATGTCTATGTGTATGTCTATGTCTATGTCTATGTCTATGTCTATGTCTATGTATATGTATAGGTATATGTATAGGTATATGTATATGCATATGTATATGTGTGCGGGTCAGGTCGTTCCCCAGCAGTGGCTCGCGCGGACGCCTGCCCCTGGCGTCGACCCGGATGATCGACGGCGCCTCGACTTCGTCGCCTACGGAGCTACGCAGCTCGGCGAAGCGCTGTGCTGCGACGTGTCCCTGGGGTCGCCGCTCACACGCGACGGGCTCCCACAGCCCTCCTCTACCACCAGAGATGGTGCTGCCCTCGCCGTTGCTAAACGCCGCAAGCGCGCTGCCTACCCGGAACTCCTCCGGCGAGGACCGCAATGGCTTTGCGTGCTCGCGTGCGCGACCGGGGGGCGCTGGAATGATGAGTCGCTCCTCCTCATCTGCTCGTTCGCCTGCGCCCCCCCCGCGCGTGCGCAGGAGGCAGCATAAAGCCACTTCAAGAAAAGTGGGAGATTTCGCTGAGAAGACAAGGTAACGAGATGCAAAAGACGCAAAACAGAAAGTTCAGAGACTTCGCGGCTCTTCATGTGCCAAGAACCTCTGACAGTGAGTTATTGATGAGTTTCTGGGGTGGCTTGACACGAGCGCGAAGATGGGCGGGAAAAACGACACCTTTCAGTCCGTTTGTCCGCTGGAGACCTGCGATGCTAGTTGCAGCCTATCGTGAACGAGTCAACGAACCCGTAAACCGTGGCTCGCCTGCTCCTCCCCGGATTTGGCGTTCCAAACAAAACCTTTCTGAGCCCGGTGCTCGTGGGGCCTCAGCCTTTGCTGTGCGCCATGTCAACTTGTCACCCCATTCCAGGTTTGACGTTGAAATGGCCGTGGTATGCCGTGGTTGTATACTTGCGGGGGTCTCATGGTCCTGCATTCACTGGCATGGTGTTGCCGTGTCGTGGCTCGCGCTTTGCCACAACTTGCTTTTGGATGTCCTCCTTCGGTTTGGGAAACACCAGACGTCTTCTCTGTTTTCTGATGGGGTGTTGCGCTCCCACGTTGGCCGTTGACCCACACAGCCAGCTGTGGCCCTTTCGGCTCAGCAGCTTGCTTTCAGTCTGATTGTTGAGCTGTTGGGTCACTCAGTGTTCAAGCTTGCCCAGATCTGGTAGAGCCGCTCGGGGCTCAAGAGTTTGAAGGTGGTCATCGAGTCATCGAGCGCTTCATTTCAAATTGCTTCAGAGGTTTCATTCCGGCTATGTATGTCTGTCTGTGTCAATGGCGAATTGGTTGCTGGCAGCTCCTGCAAACTTAGGGAATGTCGCAGTGGATGACATTCACACGGCCGGTCACAGTCAGCTTGCAGGAAACCTGGTCGGTAGAGCGAGGCCGAGTGGAACTCTACGATTCTGTGACGGTCCTTCGCGGCGCATCTCTTGCGATAAGAGGGCATGAGGGTGATGCCTATGCAACGGTGCACTTCATGACGGCGACTGCGACCATCTCCGTCGAGGAAGGAGGCTCCCTGTGGATTGAATCAGCTGTTTTCGTGGCTCACGAAGCGGGCTTGGAGGCAGTGCATGGAAGCGCTCAGGTGACTGACCTCCTTTGCGTGGGTTTCGCCACTTGTTTGCGTGGGCTGTTGCGGACTGGATCGCGGCCCAATGTGACCAGAAGCTTCTTTGCTCGGAACAAGCGGGCTCTCACGGGAGATGGCGAGGTAGCGGACTCCGTATTCTTTGGCAATCAGGAAGCTGTCTCAAGTGACTTTGGGCCGTACTGGACCGTCACCCGTTCGCTGTTCCTCTGGAACTCGGTGGGCCACGCGAACTTCGAAGGCTCTGATGTGTTGCAGTCGGCATTCGTCCAAAACGGTGTTGGGATTCGACAAGCTCGCAGCGCGCAGGATGTGTTGCTGTATAGGAATGGCATCGGCATCGAGGGCATGGGCGGTTTTACACTTCGGTACCTCACTTTCCTTGAGAACGGCATTGGCACCAAAGTGCCCAGCGAGGCTATGACCAATGCGAACTTTCTGCGATCCGTAACTGCTCATATTCACTATTCCCAGGTCTGGGCGCCTACTGTGAATCTCCAGAACTCGGAACTTCACTGGAGCGAAGGTTCGATAATTGCCATCAAGGATAAGATTGTGGATGGTCAGGATGCCAGCAACGAGAATGTCGGGAGGGTGCTTGTTGGTGACCGAGGTTGGCCGAGCCCGTTCCACCACACGATGTATGAGTCTGATGCTTGTGCAGGCCACTGTTCCAGGGACTGGTTCAAGATGACTTGGGCCAAGGTCGTTTCTGTGGAAGAGCGGGAAGCGGCCGACCAGGTTTTGTCCACTGGTCAGACGGTGAGCGGGGCAATTAGCATCGGCTACAACCCGGCCAGCGCGACCGAACTCAGCGAGCACATGGATGACCTTGCTGCTCTATTCCAAGTCGTGTCCGACTCCTGCGATGGTTACTTCGGATACAGATTTCTCTTTCCTGGAATCGCCGGCGTGAGCACCAGTGCCAGCACCAGCTTTAGCTCCAAGCCGCCTACAATCGACGCACCCGCCGACGACCTGCAAGTCTTCGACTTCGAGATTCCGATCGGCTTCGGCATCTTGTCTCAACGTTCGTGCAGGAGTCGACGTTAGCACGTCCTCGACTCACAACTTTGCAGCCCTTCCGTTAACAAGCCATGCCGTTGTAAACGGCGGTGGCAGGGGTCGCAGAACCGAGGTTTGACCAACACTTAAACCCGCAAGCCACCAGAAAGCCTTTCATGTCCTGCAACCCCGAAACCCCCGAGAAGCACCGGAGCAGCTACGAGCAACCCGAGACGAGTCCCCCAAACGCGTGTCGAAAACCCGGCCGAGAGCTTCCAAAGTCCAGCTTTAATTGTAGGTTTTGAGATCATTGTTAACCCATCCCCTCAGCCCCCGCCCTTTCCCGCTTTGTATTGGCCAAGATCTGCTCATTTTGCTCAGCGCCTTGTTGGGCATTTGCTCGCTGCTAACGTGCTGGGCCTGCTGGCTTGGATGTCGGCCCCTGGCTTAAACAGCTTGGAAGTGACGGGGCTACTTGAAACTTAAATCACCATTTTCGGGTCTGGTTTCTGAGGCCTCTTGTTCTGGGTTCTTTGGATTGACGGCAGAGGATTTGATGAGGTTTCGAGTGTTGGGCCTGTCAGCATGCAAGCCAACAGCTTCAACACGTGTCGTTGGCGATGGTCGCAGTGGACAGCCCGCCTACAACACCTATACCAAACAGGTTCCCTTGCAATTCCCACAAAAAGTTGTGAGGACCTTCCGTGGCCGACCAAACAAAGCACGAGTCCAGCCATGTCCGGTTCCGGCGGAACATGTGGAGGTGCGTTGCTGTCGTTGTTTCGTTGTGTGCGTGTTGGACTTGGGAGGGCGTGCTAATCAAATTTCGCGGGGGTCAGGCGGATTTGCCAGTGCTTTTGTTCATAAAGTTTCGTCAAGGCCAGACTCGGAGACCGGCAGTGGTGACCACCTGCCCACGGGTTTCAATTGCTCATCCATGGAAGAATTTTGGCGAGTTGGATGAGGCTTCTGATTTTTGAATGGGGAACTTTGGAACGGCAAGAGTTCGCCCTGGTTTTGGGCGAGGTATGTCAGTATTGAAGAAGCAGCATGAGTTCTTGAATTCTGCATCGTGTCATGCAGCCATACCTGAGTTTTGTTGGTTCTGGCTTTTGGCTGGGTTTCCGATATGTAAGACAATTTCCATCAAGCTTCCAGCCTTCAACATTCCACATATCAACAGACCATTAGAGTCTGCACGGAAGCTTGGCTAAGTCTTAGAGTCGGCGGAGTCGTGCGGGTTGGGGGCGGTTCTTCCAGGGGTCTCTTGGCGTTTATCGTTCGGTCGTTTCAGCATCCAGGTGGAGCGATCTGTGGCCATCAAGTGGCGCATGAGCCCCGAGTGCCATGGCTTTTCGCTAATGCTTTTGTGCTAGCTAGTGTATGTCGTTGTTCTTGGATCTCTTCAGTGACCTGGCGCCAATCTCCCCATCCACGCGTGCTTCTTTGCGGTGTCAAGCAGGTCGTCGTATGTAATGAGCATGCTTAGCCCTTTTGTTTGGACCTGTGGTTCCAAGCCAAACTGCAGTTAAAGGTTCCAGGCCACACTATGCAAAACTGATCTTGGGAAGGGAACTGACGTGGAAAAGTCACCTAGTCCTGAGCATGAGCGCCGGAAACAGCATGATGCCGGCGTGCTGCGGATAAAGTTTCATGATTTAGAACTTAGGTTTTGGAGTTCAGGCCTTAGGAAGTTCAGGCTCTAGGAATTTGAGATGTTTTGCATATTGCGGCAAGAAGAGATCCTGCCAGGAGCCTCCCTGAATCGATCCAGACGGTCCCATCCTATTGGGACCTTGGGCTGCATTGGTCTCAATCCAAGGGTAAAAGGAGGGACCCTTAATAAGGACCCCTAGGTATGTACCCTGAATATGGCTACTATATACCCATTATATAACCCATTATAGGCTAGGGGTCCCCATTAAGGGTCCCTTCTTTTCCCCTTTGACTCAAACGTTTTGGTCTCCGAGCTGCATGGCATGCTTCCTCAAGTGCTTGATCACACGCTCATCTGCCCGCAAGTTCGGCAACTTCAGACACTGTGCGGAACGTTGCAGTGTGAGTGCTACCAGGCCTAAGGCCCGTCGGAGTTTCAGTTTCAAAGTTGAGGCCGAGTGAGAGGCAATGATGTCGCCTGCCCTTTGTATCTTGAGGCTTTTTTCATGAGATAAAAGAGCCCTCTTCAGGGCCTGGGCCTAAACCCGAACCCAAACCCCCGTTGGTTGAGTTGCGAACATTGCGAAGATGCCGCGGCAAGCCAGGAATGCTCCTCGGACATCCTGGTGATGCTGGATCCTGGTGGCCTGGAGAAGCTGCAGCAGCTCATCGACGGTACCTTCCGGGACAGGGACGCAATAAGGTCGGTCGCGCTGTCGTCATGGCGGTGGTAAGATCGGGTGGTTTGTTGTGGAACTGTTTTTGTAAATGCCCTCCTGGGGATCCAATCCCAAGCCGCAAATTAAGACCTAAGCTTCCCGGCGAGCCCGCGGGCTCTGAAACTGCGAGGACACATCTACTCGAGATCGGAGTGGCTCAATGCCATCCAAGCTCCGGGTTGTGCATGCGCACCGCATAGAGAACGAGGACCAGGTTTAGGGCCTGAGGTTCTCATATGTTCATAATAAGGACCCTCAAATTCCCTGTTCTTGGACTGCGATAATGCCCTGCAAGTCCCATGACTTGCACTCATGGGCTGCATTGAAAAGCAGGCCTTGTGGCAAGAATACACAGTCGATCGTTACGCCATCAAGCAGAAGAGGCGACACCGGTGCACGGCGCTGGACAGGCAGGTCAGTGATTCTCTGAATGTTGCATGTAGAGGGTCGACACGGAGGTTAAGGCCGCCCTTGGGACATGGGCCTTGAAGCCAGGGCTGAGATTCCTCATGGAAGGCTCGGTGGCGAGGCGCTGACGCAGGACTTCGTGAGAGGCCTCGGCCTCATGGAAGACCTCGACCAGCGCGTGAACGAGGCCGGTCTCTTGATTGTGCGCTTGAGGTATGGGTCTGTCTTTGAGGCAAGACCGAGACAGTGAGAACGAATGGCCCGGCGACCCTGATTCATCCCCTGTGCCCGGGAGAGAGCAGGGAGAGGGAAGAGGAGAGGAGAGAGCGTGCGAGCGAGACAGAAACGGACGCAAGCAAAGAAGAAGAAGAAGAATAAGAAGAAGAGGTCAGAGATTCCATGAGCGGAGCCAAGCGCGCACGCCAAATCCACATGCCCACGCACGACATATCTGTGCTCCAGATACGTACGTTAGGTATTATCTCTCCCTCTCTGTCTCTGACTCTAACTCTCCCCGTTGTCCCCGTTCGGTCAACCCGGAGCTGCTGGCTATCTACTAGCGCCCGAACGTTTACAGCGTATCAGTGTTCCTGCTGCCGAGGTTTCCTTATGGCACGGGACGAGCCCACAGAATGCTTTCTCGATTGCCAGGACCGTTTCGGAGCATTTCCGCTCAGGGTGGTTTCGGAGTTTACGGGGGGCTTGGCAACACAAGCCCAGAGGCTGGTGTCGGTCCGAAAGCTAAGTTCTTGTGAAGCAGTGGTCAGCGCAAGCGATGTAGCCGGGTTCGAAAGGCCGTCATGAACTGTTTTCTCTTTGGGCATCCTTCATGATGAGCTGCAATCCTCAAGTAGGAACGGAACTGTGAAGTTAACACCAGCAGTAGTTCAGAACAACGCCGGAAACCCCTTTGCAGGACGGGCTTCAAGATTCGTCCCCATGCTCGCGGGCGGCTGTCACTTGGCCCATGAAGCCCGGAACCCGTGGAAGGTTTCGGGCTAAGGGTTGCGCGATGGCTTGCGTTGCGCAGGGTTCAAGGAGTGCCAGTTTGCTGAGGGTTTTGAAGGTCTTGGGGGCTTAAGACGGTTTGGGCTAAGTGCTGAAGCCCAAATACAGAGATTCACCAGTTGGGGTTGTGTGACCTGCATGATCAAGCACGACGTGTGTTTCTAGATGAATGTCTTTCGAGTTTGAAAAGTTTTTATGGCTTTGTTGAGAGCAGGGGGCGGATGTGGACGCAAAACCCACCAAGCCACACTCTGTGCCCCTTTCGAAAGTGGCTCTTGCATCAGAGACAAAGCGTGAAAGAGCATTGCACGGTTCCGGCTGCAGCGCCGCGAGACCTGGGCTCCTGCCCCAAATTCTCCACCTTGGAGTTGATCCCAAATCCTTGCTGTTCTATGTAACGAAGGCTGTGCAAGCTGTGCTCCGCGCGTTGTCTAGATTCCATTCCGTTATTTCGGTGCCACCAGGTAATCTATCAGTGCTATCCTTGGTACAGTGACTATTCGATGTGGCTGCCCGCACATCGAAATCAGGCGCTTTGCCCGGACTGCCCCAATGCACGCATAGTGTCCTGAACCCATGGTCCAAAAGCCTCATCATCGGAACCCATGCATAGTTGGACATCTGTATACATAAAAATATATATATATATATACACACACACATAGATATGGATAGACATGTAATCTCGAAAGGAATTTCGAAGCCCGGCAAACTTTCCTTGAGTTACGGCGCCGGCGCCTACTTCGCTGAGTGCAGCTCGAAGTCAGACGAGTACGCCCGGGATGATGCCGAAGGCATCCACCAAGGCGCTATTATGGTCGTGGGTGCCAATAGGGTTGTGGGGTTGTAGGACGCTGCGGGTTAAGGGCCAGGTTCAAAAGGGCGCTTTGGAGTTTTGGTCTCTATGTCAAGACTCTGGGTACTTACATAACTCCATAAACAAGTACAAGCACTTGTAGATATGTATGCATGGATAGAGACATACAAAGACAGATGCAGAGATCGATAGCTAGCTTGCTTGCTAGGTAGGGGCAGATAGATTGCTAGATAGATAACACTTCTTTTGAGCAGGAGCCTTTTCTCGTTATGAGGTTCTGTTTCACTAGCCTTGGCTTTGGAATTACGTCGCGTGCTGGGTGGCAGATTCGAGGGCACCACTATCTGCCGAAGAAACACTGAGTAATCACGAGTATTTGTCTTTGTCCTCCTGTGCCCACTCGGCCGTCGTAGGCAAAGTGTTGGTGGTTTCGAAAGTCCCTAGCACTTGCAGAGACCAAGGTATACTAAAAGGTCAACGAGCCAGCAGAGCTCGAGCATGTCCTTCCTTCATGTTGGCTTTGTGAATCCCTGATGAGGTCTGTATTGCTTGCTGCTCTGCAGGGTCCTGCTTGGGGAGCCCCTGCATTTGACTGCTGGGGGCGATCAAGTCGGCCCGCTCGTCCGTGCAGCGCTGGATTCGGATTTGCTCTTGGGCAAGAAGCTTCCTGTTCTTTCGGGGTGCTTATCGAGAACTTTGGTAAGTGGGGCAGGGGGTGATACTCTAGTTACTGTTTCCATCAGTGCGTATGGTCTTATAGGCACTGAATCGAAGAAACCGAAGCTCTGAATTCGTAGTCGTAGTTTCGGCATTCCCAGGTACGACTCGGTACTTGGAGACCGCCGCGCTTCCGTTGGCACCTACCGTGAGTTCATCGTCTACGACGACTACATGGCCTATCCTGAATACATAGTAGTTTACACCCGGCAGCCAGCATAGAAACCCTACGCCCCAAGCCGTACACGCGAAACCTTGGGGACTCTACAGCACAGTGCACCACAGTGTACCATAACCCTGAAGCTGATACAGAGTAAGCCCCAACCCTGAAACGAAGCGAATCGCAGTCCCCAAAGAATCCTAGGAAGATAGAAACACAGTCATCAGCCTCCCCAGCGAAGCCCATATGCACTGCCCAAAGCCTTACTTATCAACGCTGTAGTTTATACGGCGGCCGCCGTAACGCACTGCGAATCCCTGATTTTGAGGCATATGTAATGTTAGATAGGTAGACACAGTAGATAGAGAGATAGGTGGATAGATAGATAGAGGAGACCTGGCATAGCATAGAATACTGTATCTTTCTAGTGTGTATGAACATACGGACTCTTTCTTCCTGTTTGCTGGCCACCGTAGCTAGGCCCTCCACCTTTAAGGGTGCTTCTCTCTTGGGCCCCGGGCCGCCCCAAGTGGCAAAGCCAAAACGGGGGGCCGCGGTACTGGGCCCGAGGGGGAGAATCCCATCCCCAGACTCCTTAGAGGTATTTGTTGTTTGGGTATAGGGGATCTAGAACAAATGGAACTCGCAAAATGATCTCGAATCGAATAAACAGAACGTTTAAAGGGATCTACAAGAGATAGCATCCCCAAACGGGTATCCAACCGTGAGGATTTTGTCTTTTTCTCAGGGTTCTACCTTTGAGGGGTCTGGGTTTGTCAAGAATCGACCTAGAATTGTGCGATTCTCGATCGGCTCTTATTTGAAACATCGGAGGGATTTTCCGAACGTTGCTCCGCCACTCCTGCCAGACAAGGCTCGTCTCATTAGGCTGTGGCCGAAGCGACAAGTATGCAGGTGCTTTGCCTTGCATAAGAAGCAAACGCCACCACCGCATGATGCCTTTGGTCCATATCCGGGAGTGAAGGATCGGGCTTGGGGGCCCATTCTTGTATGGATCGCAGCGGGGCAGTGAATTTCAGGAGAGGGGTAGAGCATCTCAGGTTCGATTGACGCATTGGGTAGACACTGCCAATGTTGTTTAATCCTGCATCCTTAGCAGTACCTTGTGCGAGCTCGTAAGTTTTGGAAGAATGCCAGATGTCTAGCCAAAGGACTGCTTGGCAGCTCATTTATGGCTACTTTGCCTTGCGATCACTGGTCAACAAGTTATCTCCGAAACAAGCATCAAAGCCTCGCCCCCGTCCCCCTCCTCCCCCCTACCATGCAAAACCCTGCAAGTGTCACGGCATGTTTTGGCTCTTTTGGGGCCTTGGGGTTTGGGCTCTGGGCCTTCAGTGATCCATGTTGTGACGGAATTCAGGTCGATGCCCAAAGCCTCATCTCTAGAAGCAATTTTTCAGCTTGCCTCAATGGTTTGCCGGTGTCTGCCGCAGACCGTTCCAGCCATGACGAACTCCATGGAAGTCGAAACCAGAATCACCCAACACCCCGAGACTCTAGACCCGAAACCATCGTAGACTCTACTGCCCAGAAGCAGCTGTCCGAGTTGGCCCTTGACCGAGCAATGTGTCAATGGATGGTATGTAACCTTCCGACAATTCCAAGTCCAGTCCCGACTAAGCTACTACATCCCTTTTGTAGATGTTCTGACATTTCGACCTTGCTGCGATGTCGCCGTTTGCTGGCTGCTGCCCCACAGCACTGACTTCGTGCTGCTGCCTGAAAACCTACGACCGCAGCTCGTGCTTCAATTTCACTTTTCAGGGTACCGACAGCATTCGTTGGAGCCGGAATCCTGAAACTCAACTGCATCAAGATGAGAGGCACCCCCAAAGAGTTTTCAAGGTGTCCTCCACCATCATCCCAGGCTCCCTTTAACCAGATATCCTCCGGCGCGACCTCCGGGCCCCAGTGCTTCCTGCAGCCTCTGAGCACTCCCCCGTCAGTCGCCAAGGCCCAGAGATCCGGAAGATACGAAGCCCTTTAAATGCTGTAAAAATACTTACCTTTGGTTAGAAGGGAATGGAAGAATGGTAGTAATAGTAGTTATATAATTGTCCCCCATTCCTCCATTCCCTACTAACCAAAGGTAAGAACATCGAAGCCCCAAAGCTTCAGCTTTCTGGTCCACCGTACAGCCTGCAAGGCGATGCTGCGATCCTACAGATCCTTTCGGAGAGCACGGATCCCGACGGTCCTTCCTTGTTCGGACTGCCGGTGCTTTCGGGTGGGACTTCGGGAAGTCAGCGTGGTTCACGACAGAAACGCCCGAAACCCAAAGTTGCTTGCAGTCATCAGAGTTTGCAGGCCTACAGATCAACTCCGAGTCACCAAATGCTTGCAGTGAGGTCAAAGTCATGCGAAAGGGCGCTTCAAACGGCATGTGCGATATCTTGCCAGCTCGCGAGTCGATAATGTGCAGCTTGCAGGACGCCTGTGCTGGTGCCAGACCGCTCCGATTCCAAGGCTGGCGCCGGGAAGTTGAGGATGGGGTTGAGAAACCGGTAAAGACGGAAGGCTTCACGCAGAGGGCTTGGCAGAGGTGCGGCAAAATGTCGTGACGTGAACCCAGCTACCACAAAATCAGAGTTGGAGTCGTAAGCGCAGCTCCTCACCTAAGACCCGATGCACCGAAGAGGCCGTCAGCGGGGCTGGAGGACATTGAAGCGATCCGCCCCTCACCATGTTCTGGGCAACTGGGGTTCGGACTTCGGGCTCCGGAGTCTCTGGAGTTTCTAGGACTACGGCGTAAACGGCTTGAGAGAAGAAGAGGAGAGCCATGATGACACTCTTGGGTATGGTTCCATGTTCTTGGGATCGAGCCTTCAAGGTTCTGCAGAAGGTCCTTAACGACACTAATCTTCGGCACCTTTCTATTTGACACCTCCCTCCCAGTCCCCAGGGGATTCCTTTCCGGCTTTCCGGCTTCCGGCGCTCAGGGTCGGAGGATAGGAGCTTCGAGCCTCGCTCGCTGAAATTCTATCTGCAGCCTTCAGCCCTCTACAGAATAGTAGGTTATGTTACGATGCCTCAATTACGAGGGAAGAAGCATAGCACCAGGCAAAGGGAGAGGCAGGCGGCCCCTCTTGTCAGCTTACACGTCTCCGAACTTGCGGGTCTGAGGCTGAAGACCTTAACCCCAAAACTCCTCAGACCCCTAAGCAGCAATGTGGCAGCACAATGCAGCCCAGGCAACCTGGCTGGTGTAACCCTGCAGTCCGGGTCGCATCTGATGCTGGGCTACGATATTCGACCCCGGCTGCTGTGTACCTTAAAGGACGATTTCTAGGCAATTACATGTCTTTTTAGAATGGCACCTGAAAGGGTTCTTCCTGATTGTAATCCGTAAGTCGAATCACCTCCGCGTTCTATCCTCGGCTCAAAAGAAGCAAAACCCTGTACTCGACCGTGCCAGCAAGGACAGGAGGATCTCTGGAGACCCTCCGGTGGAGCCAGTTTGATGCTGCTGGCATTCAAGAGCCATTCATGAAGGTTGAATTGGAGAGCGGATGCCCCCAAACCTGAACCCCGAACCTACTACTGCAGACCTTGCCAGGCTTTGTCCGAGTGTGAGTGTCAAAAAAGCCCCGAACGCCCCGAGTGGCTTTTCTGCTGTGTCCAACAATCCGACTCATTGACCAAATGCCTCGCTTGGATTGGCCCAGTTGTGTCAAAAGAAACTCTTAAATTCGTAAACCCTCGAACCCCTAGCCGGCCCTAGCCGTAAACTTCAGGGCACCAAAAACCCCAACTCGGGTGGTCCTGAGTTCGATGCCTCGATCCTTTATATTCTTGTTGGTGTCACCATCAGGAAAGGAAGCTCATTAATCCCTTCCCCTATTTATTAAAGGGACCCCTAATTATAAAAACACTTTTCCCCCGATCCACCCGGAAGTAGCACCGCCCTTTAAACCCTAATTTGAATTAGGGGGAAGGTTTAGGGTCTTTCGATTGAGGGTTTAGGGGGAAGAATTATAATTGCATGACTCAGCAACTGCTCAATTGAGCCGCATGAAAAGCTTTATTAGCCAAGCCTTTATTGAAGCCTATTTTTTTAATGCGTATTTACGGATTTAGTGTGTATTTGCACGGATTTGTGTATTTGCACGGATTTAGTATGTATTTGCACGGATTCACGGATATAGATGTATTTGCACGGATTCCGTGTGTATTTGCACGGATTTGGTGTGTATTTGCACTCACGTCCTGTGTAGTTGCACGAATTTAGTGTGTATTTGCATGTATTTTTTCGCATTTAGCGTGTGTTTGCACGGATCGTGAGTATTTGCACGCAGTATTTGGTGTCTAATTACAGGGATTTAGTGTGTGTGTATTTACACGGATTGAGTGTGTATTTGCACAGATTCCGTATGTATTTGCACGCATTTACTGTGTACCTGGTGTGTAGTTAGAGGGATTCAGTGTGTGTCTTTACACGGATTTAGTGTGTGTTTGCATGGATTCGGCGTGTATTTGCACGGATTCCGTGTGTATTTGCACGGATTTGGTGTGTATTTGCACGCATTTCGTGTGTATTTGCACGCATTTCGTGTGTATTAGCACGAATTTCGTATGTCTTTGCACGGATTTAATGTGCATTTGCACGGTTTTAGTGTGCATTTGCACGGATTTGGTGTGATTTGCAGCCCTTATAATAGCGTTTCTTAAGTCTCCAGAGAGCCCAGAGCTTCAGGTCACCCCAAAATCTCGATTCCTGGTGGGGAAAGGGCCCAAATGACAGCCCCGGGGATTGAGCCCGCGATCGTCCCGATGAGGGCTTCGGAGGCAGACATTTACCCATTAGGCCATGGCCAGATAGTTCTGGGGGCGGGCGGCTGCCTCCTTAGGGGATTTCGGCAAGGTCGCAGGCCCAATTCTGGCGGTGTCCCCGTGGGCCCTTTCCCCATCCAGAATCGAAATTTGAATTTACCAAAAACCGCCAAGAGCACAACCAAACCCGCCGAAAACCGCGCAAACCCACCGAAACCCTCCCCGGTGCAAGTTCCCAACATCAACAGCAGGTTGCAGAGGTTGAACCAGCAGGTTGCAGAGGTTGAGCCAGCAGGTTGCAGAGGTTGAACCAGCAGGTTGCAGAGGTTGAACCAGCAGGTTGCAGTGGTCGAAGCTGCAGGTTGCAGAGGTTGAAGCAACAGGTTGCAGAGGTTGAACCAGCAGGTTGCAGAGAGGTTGAACCAGCAGGTTGCAGAGGTTGAACCAGCAGGTTGCAGAGATTGAAGCAGCAGGTTGCAGAGGTTGAAGCAGCAGGTTGCAGAGGTTGAACCACAGGTTTCAGAGGTTGAACCAGCAGGTTGCAGAGGTTGAACCAGCAGGTTGCAGAGGCAGAGGTTGAACCAGCAGGTTGCAGAGGTTGAAGCAGCAGGTTGCAGAGGTTGAGCCAGCAGGTTGCAGAGGTTGAACCAGCAGGTTGCAGAGGTTGAAGCAGCAGGTTGCAGAGGTTGAAGCAGCAGGTTGCAGAGGTTGAACCACAGCAGGTTGCACAGGTTGAACCAGCAGGTTGCAGAGGTTGAACCAGCAGGTTGCAGAGGCAGAGGTTGAAGCAGCAGGTTGCACAGGTTGAACCTGCAGGTTGCAGAGGTTGAACCTGCAGGTTGCAGAGGTTGAAGCAGCAGGTTGCAGAGGTTGAACCTGCAGGTTGCAGAGGTTGAAGCTGCAGCAGCAGGTTGCACAGGTTGAACCAGCAGGTTGCACAGGTTGAACCAGCAGGTTGCAGAGGTTGAACCAGCAGGTTGCAGAGGTTGAACCTGCAGGTTGCAGAGGTTGAACCTGCATGTTCCAGAGGTTTGGTGGGCTTGCGCGGTTTTGGGCGGGTGTGGTTGTGCTCTCTTGGCGCTTTTGGTCATTTCAACATTTCGATTCTGGATGGGGAAAGGTCCCAAAATGACACCGCAAGAATTGGGCCTGCGACCTCTCCCAAAACTCCTAGCAAGGTGCGCAACCTTTCGCAAAACTATCTGGCCATGGCCTAATGGGTAAGTGTCCGGCTCTAAAGCCTTCTTGGCAAAATTCGTGGGCTCAATCCCCGGGGGCGTCATTTAGGCCCTTTCCAACCCCGGAATCGAGATTTTGGGGTGGCCTGAAGCTTTGGGCTCTCCGGGGACTCTCTAGAGCGGACTGGGTGCACATCCGGCTTTCGTGGGGCAGGTTGCAGAGGTTGAACCAGCAGGTTGCAGAGGTTGAACCAGCAGGTTGCAGAGGTTGAAGCAGCAGGTTGCAGAGGTTGAAGCAGCAGGTTGCACAGGTTGAACCAGCAGGTTGCACAGGTTGAACCAGCAGGTTGCAGAGGTTGAAGCAGCAGGTTGCAGAGGTTGAAGCTGCAGGTTGCAGAGGTTGAACCACAGCAGGTTGCACAGGTTGAACCAGCAGAGGTTGAACCAGCAATTTGCAGAGGTTGAACCAGCAGGTTGAACCTGCAGGTTGCAGAGGTTGAAGCAGCAGGTTGCAGAGGTTGAACCAGCAGGTTGCACAGGTTGAACCAGCAGGTTGCACAGGTTGAACCAGCAGGTTGCAGAGGTTGAACCAGCAGGTTGCAGAGGTTGAAGCAGCAGGTTGCAGAGGTTGAACCAGCAGGTTGCAGAGGTTTGGTGGGTTTGCGCGGTTTTGGGCGGGTGTGGTTGTGCTCTCTTGGCGCTTTTGGTCATTTCAACATTTCGATTCTGGATGGGGAAAGGGCCCAAAATGACACCGCAAGAATTGGGCCTGCGACCTCTCCCAAAACTACTAGCAAGGTGCGCAACCTTGCCAAAAACTATCTGGCCATGGCCTAATGGGTAAGCGTCCGGCTCCAAAGCCTTCTTGGCAAAGGCCCCTGGGCTCAATCCCCAGGGGCGTCATTTGGGCCCTTTCCGCACCCGGAATCGAGACTTTGGGGTGGCCTGAAGCTTTGGGCTCTCTGGGGACTCTCTAGAGGGGACTGGGTGCACATCCGGCTTTCGTGGGGCAGGTTGCAGAGGTTGAACCAGCAGGTTGCAGAGGTTGAACCAGCAGGTTGCAGAGGTTGAAGCAGCAGGTTGCAGAGGTTGAAGCAGCAGGTTGCAGAGGTTGAGCCAGCAGGTTGCAGAGGCTGAACCAGCAGGTTGCAGAGGTTGAAGCAGCAGGTTGCAGAGGTTGAAGCAGCAGGTTGCAGGTTGCAGAGGTTGAACCTGCAGGTTGCAGAGGTTGAAGCAGCAGGTTGCAGAGGTTGAACCTGCAGGTTGCAGAGGTTGAACCTGCAGGTTGCAGAGGTTGAAGCTGCAGGTTGCAGAGGTTGAAGCAGCAGGTTGCAGAGGTTGAACCAGCAGGTTGCAGAGGTTGAACCACAGCAGGTTGCAGAGGTTGAACCAGCAGGTTGCAGAGGTTGAACCAGCAGGTTGCAGGGGTTGAACCAGCAGGTTGCACAGGTTGAACCAGCAGGTTGCAGAGGTTGAACCACAGCAGGTTGCCGAGGTTGAACCAGCAGGTTGCAGAGGTTGAACCAGCAGGTTGCAGAGGCAGAGGTTGAAGCAGCAGGTTGCAGAGGTTTAACCAGCAGGTTGCAGAGGTTGAACCAGCAATTTGCAGAGGTTGAACCAGCAGGTTGAACCTGCAGGTTGCAGAGGTTGAAGCAGCAGGTTGCAGAGGTTGAACCAGCAGGTTGCAGAGGTTGAAGCTGCAGGTTGCAGAGGTTGAAGCTGCAGGTTGCAGAGGTTGAAGCAGCAGGTTGCAGAGGTTGAAGTTGCACAGGTTGAAGCAGCATGAAGCAGCAGGTTGCAGAGGTTGAACCAGCAGGTTGCACAGGTTGAACCAGCAGGTTGCACAGGTTGAGCCAGCAGGTTGCAGAGGTTGAACCAGCAGGTTGCACAGGTTGAAGCAGCAGGTTGCAGAGGTTGAGCCTGCAGGTTGCAGAGGTTGAATCTGCAGGTTGCAGAGGTTGAAGCTGCAGGTTGCAGAGGTTGAACCTGCAGGTTGCAGCGGTTGAACCAGCAGGTTGCAGAGGTTGAACCAGCTGGTTGCAGAGGTTGAGGTTGAAGCAGCAGGTTGCCAGCAGGTTGCAGAGGTTGAACCAGCAGGTTGCAGAGGTTGAACCAGCAGGTTGCAGAGGTCCCTCTAACCACACACCAGGCACACACGGAATCTGTGCAAATACACACTGAATCCGTGTAAATACACACACTAAATCCTTGGGATTACACCAAATGCGTGCAAATACTCAGGATCCGTGCAAACACACGCTAAATGCGTATAGATACACACCAAATCCATGCAAATACACACCAAAGCCGTGCAAATACACACAGAATCCCAGCAGCAGCAGCAGGAGCAGCAGTGGTAGCAGTCGCAGCAGTAGCAGCAATCGCAGCGGCAGCAGGAGCAGGAGTAGTAGTGGTATTGTCACTAGCAGGAGTAGAACATCCGCAGCATCAGCACCAATAGCATTTGGGCAAAGGGGCATGGGAAAGTGGGAATGGGTGGGTTTTGGTGGGTTTGCGCGGTTTTAGGGCGGGTTTGGTTGTGCTCTTGGCGGTTTTTGGTCATTTCAACATTTCGATTCTGGATGGGGCAAGGGCCCAAAAGGACACCGCCAGAATTGGGCCTGCGACCGTGCCCAAATCCCCTTTGGAGGCAGCCGCCCGCCCCCAAGAGTATCTGGCCATGGCCTAACGGGTGAACATCTGCCTCCAAAGCCTGCCTGGCAAAAGTCGCGGGCTCAAGGATGTGAGATAACAACAGTCCCCTAATTATAAAAACATTCTCGAGTTTTTATTTAGGGCGAAGGCGGGGGGGGGCCCCGACCCTTTAATATTAGGGGGAAGGGATTACTTTCGTGGCTGTTTCAATGATCAGGCTTAAGTTCAGAGCCTTAACATAGGACCAACTGGATGTAGGTTTGCTGACTACTCGTAGCTTGACATGACCCGTGTTTTGACCGAGAACTTGCTTATGACGTTTTCTGTCAGCTAGCTTGGCAGTTCGGTTGTTGGCTTGATTTTGGGTTAGGCTCGCAATTGCTCAAGGGGAGGCATGTGACTCGACGAGGAAACGAGCATTCTCAAGCGTCCTCCTTCCTGAGTATGCTCTGCACTCCCGGAGTTGAAGCTGCGGAACCTAGTCGAACGCCTTAATGGTCATTGGAAGCTTGGCTAAGGCCTCAATTCTCCTCCCAAGTGGTCTTTAGTCGCACCGAGGCCCAGACACGGATTTTGGCCACGAATGGGTTTGGTGGGTGGACTCTTGCCTTGACTCCTAGGATCTCCTAGGTATGCACCCTGCCACGAATATCCAGGGAGGTTTTTGCACCTGCAGGTTGCTAAACATGTACACAAGTATGAATGCGTGTCCTGCGCCTGTTGTTCTGGTGAAGATGATGTTTCACAGTCCTGCCTAGTTATGCTTCGGGCCTCCTGTTAATACATACATAGATACATGTGCATGGCCCGAAACTCTTTGCACTAACTAGACCATCCCTGACCACAGCACGCGGGAATATTGAAGGATGCCTTCGCGAATGTCGGTTGCTGTTGTGCTGCTAAAGTTCTGCAGCACCTACGGCCTTTGCCGCGCAAACCACAATTCCGGCTGGAAGTCCTTGCCGCACAGTCACCTGCAGGCCTGTCACGCACTTTCTGTTTATAAGTGTGCTAGCTACTGATGGCGGTCTCAGAGCCGTTGCAGACTTCGACAGTTCTCGTACCCCTGATCCATCGGGTCGCCGCCAGAGCCACACACATGCAAGACATTGCCCGTATGTCATCCGAGTCATCCATATATCGGGCAGCTCATCAAGTGCAACCGAAGCCCTGAGCACCCACAGCGGAGTTTGCCCTCTGAGGAAGCAGCCTTGGAACACCGGAGTCTGGACCGAGCCTGCTGGAGATCCTCTCTGGTGCTTCCTGCAGCTTGGCTTCCGGGGGGAGCGGGGCTTCGATTGAAGGCTTATTACGTCTTATTCTGACTGATAGAGCTTCAGAATCTTTTTCTGGTCTATCGGCTCCCAGGCTTTGTTGTGCAGCGGCGGTTTCGGGCACCAGCAGCTCACATTTCACGCGGTTCAGAGGTCGTATGAGGGAGATGTGAAGATACATTTGCTGTTGTCCCCCGGTTTGTAACGTCTGTGAACTGTGGAACAGCATCTGTTGAGATGCTTTAGGTCGTCAGAATCATGCCGGTGAGGCAAGCAGCCCGATTTTGCGGAATGAAGCTGCTGGTGTTTTGAGCTGGTTCAAATTCTCAAGACGATTGTAGGGTGTAGGATGGCAGTATTCTGAATGCCTCCGCATGGCTGTGAAATGGGAGTTGCAAGTCCCCTTATATATATATATATATATATATATATACATATTTATGTATATATCTTCCAGCCAGGCTCTTCCTCGCCCGTGCTGCCAACTTCACCTACGAGTTGCCCTGCGGCCAGGAGGGCGAGCGCATTGAAGGGTATGTGCGGTTGGAAGGCTACAGAATGACCTATACTATTTTGGGGGTTCCTTATTATAATTATAGTATCATGGGCCCCAAAACCGAATTCTAATCATTACGGCCCCTATATTAGTGCTTTTGCATCAATAAGACAGTAGATGACATCTGGCCGCCTGCAGAACCAGAACCCAAAGGACGGTACTGCCTTGGAGCGCAGCTTGTGATGTCATGGACGGCACGGAAAGGTCTCATTAATTGAAGCCACAACCGGATCCTTATAGTAAAATGACATTTCATGAGGGAGCCCTGAGTTGCAGAAGCTTCCATATGAGAGCATATGAGGGCCTCCCGCATCCCAGCTTTCCGGTCCCGAAGCCCAAACGAGTACTTTCGGCTCGTGGTTCTCACAGCTTAGGAGCACAAAGGATACTGTTTCTGATTGCGAAGTTTTCTACAAATTATATCCCGAGCTTGTCTGAGACTCAGAAGAAGCACTATCCCAACAGGTACCTGCAATCTCTCGATGCAAAACCCTCCACCAGACTCCGTGAGTCGGGGGGGAGCATTTGCGGCGTTCGAGGTTCCGCTTCTCCGAAGACTTCCAACGTGCCGACATCGTCCCGCGAGGAAATCCCACCGTCTTCTGCTGCTGCTGTTCCCCAGACATCACCAGGCTTTGGGGTTTTCAGGGTGTTGCGGGTCTCCGAGCCCCGCAGCGGCCAGCATCGGATCCATGCCATGCGAATATGCACGGTTCGCCATCCACCGAATGCAAGCTTCGTGTGGCATCCCGACAGCGCACACAAGAGCGCTTAGTTGGGATAGTTGAGGCCCATCGTGATTCCATGATATTTTTTCTGCAGTCCTTCCGAGCCATTTCTGCAACATGCTCCCGCAGCTTCTAAGACCGACTTTCGATCTCGTCCCGCAACTACATACACAAAGCCTAGATACTTACAGGCCTCTGCCGTCTGCCCACACCCAACACGCCAAACCCAAGACGCTCTCAACGCTTGCTACATCGAATGACCCTTTAGCCGAGGCTTTGAGGGTTCAAGGGTTTAAGATTTAGGGTTTCGGGTTCAGCGGCCTTAGCTTCGAAGATACAGGGGTTGTAGCCCCTGAGCCAAGATGCTATGGGCTCCAAGGGATAAGTAAGCGTTTCTTCTCAAACCGAATCCTAAACCTCGAACCACAAAAAATCCCCAAACTTCGCACCTCAAAACTTCAAGCCGTAAAGGTGCCGAAACCACCTACACAATCGCATCCTCAATCCTAGGCCCTAACCTCCCATACACACATCCCCTTAAAGGAGCTTTTTCGATGAAGCGCACATCTCAGGTTGCCCCTGCATTCCAGCCTGGCTCGAGATGCCGAGCTGTTTCTTGTCTTGTTGGGGGTCCGGTAATGTAGGGGGCTTCAGTAATTGGAGCAGGGTTGAGTTATAGAGGATTATCATGGTTGCCGTAATTTTTATCGTAAATACAGGGGCCTTTATGTATAGAGAACATGGGCTTTGAGGAACGCTATAGTGTTGGTTCTTAATTATTCCGACCCCTATAGTAGACTGACACGAGCAAGAAAGACCGGAAGCCGGCAAGGTGCGACTTGTGATATACATCTTTCCCAGGTGTTGGTCTTGGGCATCGGCATGTGTGCTACTTAAACAGGTTCTGAGGCGCTGATGGTCTATGCTCTCAATTGCATCCCGCAAAAACTGTTGCGGTTTTGGAGTTTTGATGTTTGACAAACGCGGGATAGCCGCTGAGGATGTGGATGTTCCGAGTGTTACTTCAGGATTGTGTGCGTCTTGAGCGTGGTTGTTGGGCTCTTTGATTTCCTGCTGGGGATAGCCGGTGTCGGTTTGCAAACAAAGGTTGTCGACATTACCAGGTCAGGGGACAGGTTTTGAGGTCCTGTCTGGTGGGGAAAAAGCTTTATCAATAGATTCGGGGACGAGAAGAAGGGCAGCGCACGCCTTTGCGATCACAGAGCGAACTTCAGGGAATCGCTGCAGAAGCCTGGGCTTGGGGATGCTCGAGGCTTGTCGCGCGACATGTGATGTCCAATGTGGTTGTTCTGTTGATCTGCAACAAAAGCTGGCCATGGCGGATTCGGAGTGACCTGACACACGGCAAAGTTTGGAAATATCAATCCTTGATCTCACCGCAGCTACGAGATTGAAGCGGAAGATCCCAACCTTAAACGACCCAGACTCTCTGGCCTGACCTGTCCATGCAGGAGGCAATAAGCTCGGCGGTATTGCACCCAACGCCCACAAGCCCTAACCCCGAAGACAAGCTACATCAAACAAGAGGCCTGACACGAAACTACATGGTCCAAGCCGACTCCTCCATCAAGGGCGACCATTGGGAACGTTTCCAAGGCGCCTTCAACAAGAGACCGAGAGAGCGACAAGATGTTGGTGAGCGCTTCAGGGGATAGGATGATCAAGCATGTTTGTTCCGGTGTGCAGCTTTTGTGGTTCATGCGGCCTTGGCCGCTGGTAGCCGCTTCGGGAGCTTCTGGAGGGATCCTCGGTGTTCTGTTCCAGGTCTTCAGGGAGGTGACGCGGGATCAAGGGTGTGAAATTTCCCTGTCTTGAAGCGCCGTGTTGACCTGTCCTCATGCGAGCGTAGTCTTTTGAGTTAGATCTGAATGCACCCTGTACGACAGACGTCTTGGGCTCAGACCAAAAAGTGCGCTCGTAGTGTGGTTGGACACTCACTAATCCAGTTCCTGCTTCAAACTGGTAGCGGAGCTGTGAGGACAACCACTAGTGTTTCACCCCCGTAGAGCCTGTGGTCCGGGGTCCGTTGGGTAGAGTAGTGATAGTCGCGGCGCAAAGGCCCCTTCTATCTGAAGCCATGAGCGTGGCAGGTTTGCGTTACCAGCCCAATCTCTGGTCACAGAACCTGAGCCCTGCAGAAACGAAAAGCGGTTCGTACATATACGACGGTACGGCTGCTGGCTTCCACGATTGGTGCTTCCGGACACAGATCCGCGTGCTGCAACATAAGGAGAAGCAGCGGCGTGAAGCTCTTAAGGACCTGCGATTTGCCGAGTCGGCAAGGGCCAAGAGCGAGTCACCAAGGAAGTGGCGTGGCAGGGCAAGTCAGGGGACCAGTGCATCGCCCACAGATGGTGATGGAAGCAGCGGTATACCCGCCAGTCCGTCCAGCGCAAAACGGACTAAGCCCGCGTCCGAGGCAGAAGATGAGGATGCGGAGTCGTTGCCGTCGCACCCCAGCCAAGTGGCGGGCGACGATGAGCAGGAGCCGGACACAGATCCGGCGGTGTACACCTTGCAAGACATTAAGGACGAGTCGCTTGATATGAGCGAATGCGTTAGCAAGATTTGGAGGGTCTCCGAGGAGACGCCTTTTGCATTGCTCGCGACGTCGGCCTGGAACGTCTGCTTCGCCATGATGGCGTCGACTACCTGATAGAAGAAATCAGGAGGCAAGCTTTCCCTCTTCAATCTGAAGAGGCGTCCGAACTTTTCCGTCAGGGACAGCTCCTGACGGGCCCACTTGCAAAGCAACCCGGCGAGCCTATGTTGTCTTACATAGCCCGCCGAAAGCGGTGGTGGTCGACCTTGCGTGAGCTAGATCCTGATATCCGCCTTTCTGAAGCAATGAGGGCTAACCTCCTTGTTGAGCTTTCAGGGTTGGAAAGGAACGAACAGCTAATGGTCAAGACCGCCGCCCGCGTACACACCGTGGATGAGTACGCACGCGTCCTTGTTCAGCATCACTCAGTGGTGCACATGAAGGAACGTCTTCTTACCCAGAAGGACCCTAGTGGCCCAGGTAAGACCTGGAGACGTTTCGACGCTAAGCCACAGTACCCTAAGTTTGGCTACATGGGGTATGATGGTAGTGCCGCAGAGTATGGTCACCAGGAACAGCAGGAATCCGCGGAAGGCTACGGTGACGGCTACGGCGAAGAAGCATACCAGGCCACAGCGTCTGGGGGAGATGATGCGGATGAATGGATTGATGATGAAGACCTAGCATTGCAACTCAACGCCTATACGGCAGTGGCATATGAAGCTGAGATTGACGATTTGGATGATTCCTATGCCGAGTCAGTTCAGCTTGCGTACGCGGCACAGACCGCCTTTGCCCAGGCGGGAAAAGGAAAAGGGAAGAACAAGGGCAAGTCCTCCGGAAAATCCGGAGGGAAGGTCGTGCGTAGCAATTTGACTATTGCTGATCGTAAGGCCAAGTTGGCAGAGCTTAAGGCAAAGAGTAGGTGCCTGAAGTGCGGTGTGATCGGCCATTGGGCCGGAGATGCTGCCTGCAAGTTTAGCGGTAAGGGCAATGGCCCCAAGGGCACCACAACCCCAGCACAGTCTGGGGGAACTGCCAACGCAGCCGCAAAGCCGGCGGCGCCGAAGCCCCAGGCGTATTTCGCCGCAGTGGAGGAGGATGACACAGAGTGTGTCCATCTGTCGAATGCGAGCGCTGGTAGGCTCGAGGGTTACCCAGCCAACCTTGAGCTGACTCCCTCAAGGACCAATACCGGCAAAGGCCGCGGCAGTGAAACCCTCTTCTCACCGCAGCTTCGGCGCACAGCCGCCGCTAGGATCATGCGTGACAGCCCGCCTGAGGGTTCCGATCGCGTTTTCTCCTTTGGTCAGCATAAGGGTCTGACTTATGAGCGTGTCTTGTATACGTTTCCTGGATATGTTCTTTGGGGACGCACGCAGAAGTGCCCATCCATAAATTTGGCCGATTTCTTGGATTGGGTCACGGAATACTTTGATGTGCGTGATGATAACCCCATTAGCATCACGAGAAGGGATGTCCCTCTCAGCCAGGAGCCCCCGCCTGAACCCTTTCAGCCCGAGGTTCGCCTCGCCGCGTCAGCTGCTTCGTCCAGCGAGGGCCCCCGGAAATGCCGGGGAGGTTGCAAGGAGTTCAACAAGTCGGGGAGTAACGCATACATAGACATGCGGACCTGTAAGAAATGCGGCACCGTCACCAAGACGAAGAAAGAGAAGCCTGTCATAGACCAGGCCACATGCCCCCACACCTCCACCGAGAGGTCGGGTAGCAGTAGGAAGACCTCCCGCATTAAGTGCAAGCTTTGTGGGATGCTTCTAGATGAGCAGCCGCAGACCGAGCGAAAGGCTAGGGATGACGCAGCCACAGTGCTGCGGGAGTCCAACACCCTGGACTTCGATCTTCTGCGCAGCATAGTCGGCAGCACGGGGGATAGCCTCCCCGTAGAGGTAGTAGTTCCGGCTATTGCCCAGTTTCAAGAGACCATAGAGGGTCACTTCGTAACCGAGCCCGTGATATCTCGCGGTGACCTTCTCGCATATCTGCAAGAGGCCTTAGATGATCACTCTGCGCCATCGACCAACAACAGTTGGGAAGTGGCGTCGGCGAGATCGCGCTCCTCGAGGGCCTCCGCGACGAGGCACGCCTTCGTGGCTTTCACTGAGGGGGTCACAGATATCCATCCGGCTTTGGTTGATTTGCCCGTAGTAAATATCTACGAGGATAAGCACGTATACGCCGTGTTGGATGAGGGCTGTAACTCGACTGTTCACGGTAGCGATTGGATAGCAAACGCGGCGGGGAAACTTGCGAACTTCGGTTACAGCACGAGGTTTAAACCTGAGGGCAATCGTACCTTCAAGGGTCTTAGCGGTGCTACCGAAACCCTGGGTAGCAGGACCATACCTTTCTCTATAATGGGATTGGAGCAGGACTTGAGAGTTCCGGGCGTCCTTGATTCGCATGAGATTAAGGGTACAGCCCCTCTCCTTTTGTCCCTTTACGCCCAGGCCCAACTTGGTATAACCAAGGACCTTCGGTTCGGAGAGTGTGGTGTTCGACTTCCTTCTGAGGATAGCATCATTAGGATCAAGCTGTGTCGGACACATGACTCAGGGCTGTTATGCATAAACATAACAGAAGGTTTGATTCAGGTGAAACAACCCCGTCTCATAAGGAGCTTCCAAATCCCCTCGCCGCCAGTTCCTATATTTAGGTCTGCCGCCGCCGCCGCCTTAGCTCACTCAGAGTCTGTGAGCACACCCCGAGATGCAACAGCGGCAGATGACGCAGTGGCAACAAGTCGCAGTCACAGTACTGTAGATGCAGGCCATGGTCATAGCACTGTAGGCGTAGGCCACGGTCACAGCTTCACAACCACAGCTGAGAATCGCAACAACACTAAGCGACGTATAAGCGTAGCGTTCCCGAATCATTGCATGGTAGGCACGTCCGTAGGAGACACGGAGCCCGCCGCGATGGCCGCAGAGGAGGGGCAGTTGCCTAAGAAGGCGCCCCCGACGGCAAAGGCTGCACCGAAGATTTCAGCAGCGCCGGAGCCTGGCCACAGTGCCATGGCGACCTCGCCTGCGGTCGGCCACAGTGCCGCACCGGTGATCACTCCCGCTTTCCCTGCGCATGCGCCCAAGGCACCGCCTGGAGGAAGCGGCTTGCCAAAGAAGGCGCCTCCCATAGAGAAGGCCAGGCCTGGGGATAGCCCAGGGATACCGCCAGCAGCCCGTGCCACAGTGCATCCGAAGGAGATCGCACGAGGGCACCGTGAGCTGGCCGAGTTCGATGCGGTTGTGAAGAAGGATCCGCACGGCAGGCCCCTGGTTATAATGGCAGGTGGAGGACCTCATGGTCCGGAGCTCGACACTCCTCTTCCAGCATCCGTGTATAATCCGGATTTGGCCTTGCTGCCGTACTATGCGGGGGACACAGCGAACCCGGACATCATTATTGATGTTTTTACCTGGGGCTATGAGCACCATGCCTGGCTGCAACGCGTCAGAGGAAAGTGGACGGCGGCCGAGCTCTTCGCACAGCACGAAGAGATGGAAACGCATGCGATCACGACGTATGCAAGTGCCACTAGCTATATGCTAGTGATGTTGGACATGGTGTGGCTTAAGGACGATCGGAAAGACGATCTGACGCCTGCAGAAGCCCAACAGCGCAACGACGAACAGCGCGACCGCACAAAGCATGTTGGGTCGAACCCCGATATAATTCGGGAGCACGCAGACCATCCCAACCTGATCGCCCACGTCAGGCACATCGTGGCGAACGTCCTTGACGCTAAGGACGCTGGGATTCGGTCCATTGCCGTGCATGTGGTTTGCAAAGCCAACAGACATAGATCTGTTGCGGCGGGCATCCTTGCCCATGCAACGCTTTTGGAGCTTGTGCCAGATTGCTCCGTCAGCCTCACTCACATGAGTGCAGCGAACAGTTGGCCTTTCATGGGCAGCAAAGCGTGCAAAGGACAGTGTCCCAAGTGTTTGCACCGCGCCCCTGGCATAGCCCAGGAGGTCGAGGAGCTTACGAGGTGCTTCGTCGACGCTGTCCGCACAGACGGACCAGAGGATAATGAGTGCATCCTTGTCGTGGAGCCGCAGTGTGCACGCCCCGATGATCAGCCTACATATGCTG